TCTACTTTCACACGAGAGGCTGAGGAATACTACTCCTGTGATTTCTTCCCATTTTTTCATACACAAATCTCATTCTCTTTCCAGAAATCACACACAAAACACTCTAGATAGGGGTTAGGAAACATGCAGGACACTTGTGGGAAGAATTCACTTTTTTTTCCTTAACATGAAAATCAGATTGAGATGTGGTTTCCCACTAAACCAGGGTTTTAGGAAAAATCTGGTAAAATTGATTTTTTAAATACATGTATAAGTGAACTTCAGGTCACTTCCTATTTCCTCTGGAGAAGTGAGTACAGCCCTCTGAGGATAATAGGGCTAGGGGAAAAAAGCCCCCCGAGCTTGCTCACCTCTGATATAGGAAGTAATGATTGCATGGAAGTTAGTAGCCTGGCTCCACCTGACTTTTCAATTAACATTAAAGTTCAGTGCTGCTTAGTTTCAACAAACAGCCCCTATCTATTTTTGTGCCCCAGCAGCTTTGGAACATGATTAATGATTTCATTAAACTCATGTGTGTGTTCTGTGCTATCGAGTCAGAACTGACTTCGTCGTTTAGTCGTGTCCGACTCTTCATGACCCCATGGACCAGAGCATGCCAGGCCCTCCTGTCTTCCACTGCCTCCCGGAGTTGGGTCAAATTCATGTTGGTTGCTTCGCAACCAACATGAAACTGACTTACAGTGACCCTAAAAGGGCTTTCAAGGTGAGATATTTAAGGAGTGGTCTTACCTGTTCCACTCCCCCAGTGAGCTTCCATGACCAAGTGGAGATTTGAACCCTCTTCTCCAAAGTCTTTGTTACTCTATCCACTACATGACACTGCAAATCCTATTAAACTCACAGGCTATAAGAATTACCATGCTTATTTACTCCAAATGGTGATAACCACCCATTTTTAGATTTGCTCTAGGAACTATCATAGCAGAATTGAGGATTGAAGTCAGGGCTCTCAAACCATAATCTAGCACTCTTATCACTATGCCACACTGGTGAATTTCTGTAAAGATTCTTCACCCAGTGGCCCTTGCAGAAGCAGCATAATTCCTGCCTAAAGTTGTAAAATCCTATCTGTGTTCAGAACTGCTCCACATATAGGAACAAGACAATAAACTATGTTTATTACTGGACAATATTTCAGTTTCACAATGTGGAGCTTGGGTGTGCTTTTACTATTAGGAATGTGCATGAAAAATTACAGTATGTACTCATATTGCTTTCTTTATTAAAGTATTATTTCCTTAGCTGATCATAAAAGCAATGCATGTTCTACTATTTATTTATTAGGTATACTTATTTATTTCCTTGCATTTGCATTCTGTCTCAGCTGATAGTTGTGGGAATGACCTTCATGTGCCTCTGTGATGGTAACTTTCTATGAATGCTTAGATGTTATATTATTACTACCAACAGGATTCCTCTAGAGAGAAAACCTCAGTCCATTTTTAATTTTGGAATCAATCTAATTCATTCATTCTTTTATTAATTCTTAAAAATTGCACACCTTTAGCCACTTCACAGCCATCTTTATACTGTATTTGCATGCCAGACCACTTACTTACTGCACAGTCCTGACCTTTAGCCACTTCACAGCCATCTTTATATTGTATTTGCATGCCAGACCACATACTGCAGAGTCCTAGAGCTAATTTTCTAGCATGTATCACAGCCATAGGTCAAGATAACTGATCTGAAATCTCACTCTGCTGGAGCACAGTACTTTGCAAGACAAATACCATCTTGTCTCTCTGTTGACTAATGCTAAAATATTTTGTCAGCTCCACACATCCTTACTTTAGAATGGTTTCATTATATGTGGCATTAAATGTTTTATTATCTGTCATTTACAAAATATGCATTTTATTAGAAGACATCAAGTGATACTTCTACTAATGCTGCACAATAACAGAATGTTCTAGAAAAGAAGCCTAGAAATTTTTAAAATCCTCAAGGTTACCAATAAAGATACTGTAATGGCTTCTGATAAAAGTCACTTGGCTATTAATAGCAGCAACTGCTATAAGGAAATTTCCTGGTTCTGTGCTTACTATTATGGATGTGTTCACAAGTAAGAAGTTTTTCAGATATGTTGTGTTTTAAAGAAGTTGAAGAGAACAATGTGAATTAAATAACATGCTTCCACGTCCCACTCTTTTTAAACACAAAAGGTTTGTTTTAGTAGCACTGAAACATAGATTTTTTGGGTAGATCCAGACAAGGAAGGAGTCAAATGATAAAACATTTAATGCCATGGACAAAGATCTATGTGTACAGATGTGAGAGCTAAGTAGCATGCAAGAACTGTGCAACCAGTTTTGGGATCATTGTGTTTGAAAGACAAAATAATTCATACACCACTCAATAATTATAACTATTTCATAAATTTATTTGAAAAATACTTACAAAGGCAAGTATGTTGAGCCTAAAATAGTTAAAAGTGAGTCTGTGTTTACAGTGTTATAACTAAGTGTGCAGTCTTAACAGTCTTTGCAATCTGAAGCACTGTTAGTCTGTTTTGAAAAAGTGGGAGATGGTCCGGTTTATACATGAGCTATACCTTCTTTCTACTTTCTCACTAGCACCTACAGTGGTTATCTGTGCCTAACATCTCATTACAAAGAAAGATACATTTGCCTCATTTAATCCATAAGCACGGACAAATTTTTAACCTGGGAGAACACAGAAAGTTCATTAATGGTCTCCCTCTACCATCTAACAGAAAATAACTGAAAAACTGAACAGTAGATTGGTGTATGGGTTTACTAGTGCCACTGTACATGACTTAGTCCTTTAAAATGCAGCTTGTGGTCAACAACAGAGGTCTTTTCAATCCATATACAAATCTCAATCTCTTTACATTATTAGTGAGCTTTAAACCCATTTCCTGTGGAAACAGGCTGCAAATGGAGTCACTGAAAAGTTTCTGGTAGACGTGATTTAGCAGTACAGAAACAGAAACACAGTGCAATCAGCTTCCACTAATTTTATAGCTACTTTTCAAGACAAGACTGGCACAGACACTGACTGAAACGAATCTTGCTGTCCTGTGATCATCTATACTTTAGGAACAACAGCTTAGACAACCTGTTCATATAGGAGCAATCAGGTCTGAAAGGCTGACACCTCACCAGCCACTGTTGTGCACCGAAGCAGCAGCTGTGCAACCCAACATCTTACGGTGCATCTCAGAAGTGGATGAGTAAGTCCCATCCATTGTGCACACAGGCAAAATGCGCCTTACTCCAAGCTGAGGGACATAGGTATTTTGCCGCCAGTCTTCTTCTGGTGGCATATCTACCCTCCTAGGACCTGGAGGCTTAGCCTGCGGGGGAGGCACAGGACAACCTTGCGAGCTATCTATGTCTTTGGAAGCCCCATGTGATGACATACAGACGGTACTGTAACCAATGCTTTGTGACGGCCTACTGTCAGTGGCACCAGCCTCACGCTTTCCTTGCTGAAAGGGCTGCTGGAATAAATGTTCCTCTGATCCCCTGGTTTTCTGAGCAGCAAATCCCCAATGTTTTGCTTGTTTGTCTGGTAGTGTTGCTGTTTGTCTGGCAGTGTGACTCATCTGCGGCCAGTGGCCAGAGGCGCTTGCGGCTTCTTCAGTTCCTAAATGCTTATTAAGAAGTTTCTGTCCTTGAGAAGACAGGCCCTGTTGCTTGTAAGTGAGGCTCCCATAACTCAAGGCCACCCCTGGGTTTTCTTCACTTTGGAAAGTTTCACCCCTGTCAGACACAGCCAGAACTTTTTGGATGTTCTTCTGATTTCCTGGGGAAAAGAACAGAATATAATACTGTTTTCTTCATTCAAAGCGGAGTGATAAAAGCACTTATGTACAAGAAGTGCATTTAGGAATTTACTATCAAAGTGTCTAAACCCTGATGTTGAACACCACCTACATTCTTGCCTAAGCTCATTGTGTTTAATTAAACAATTGCAGAAGTCGTCCAAGACTAGTATTCAAGGATCAGAACTCAGGAATTGTAGTTAACTAAATCAACAGTTTTTTGTCATTCATTTTTATATAAAAGCACATATCTGAAGAATGCCAGGGACTAGTCAAGTATGGCAGAAGTGGGAGGGAATATAATTCATGAATTGCTCTAAATCAGTCTCCTGGGTGACATCAGATACGTCATACTTAAAATTAATTAATGGCTTATTCATTATAGGACTGGATCACATTTTTAGCTACAATTTGTGTGGCTGGTTTTCATACCAATGGATCCTGTCCTTTCTGACATGTCCTTGTCTTAAAAGGATACTCATTCAACAGTCTTCTTTCAATCACAATAAGGACAGATTACTTACCTGTAGCTATAGTTCTTTGAGTAGTAATCTATGAATTCATGCATATAGGTGTTTCTGCACCTGTGTGAAACCTACCAGAACATTCTAGAGCTTAAGCAGAGAGCTGTTAGAATAGCTTCCCCTGCTGTGCATGCCCCAATACCCAGAGATCATCTCTCCCCCAAACTGCCGCTATGTAAGAAAAAACAGCATAGCAGACTGAGGGGAGGATTGGTGGGTTGTATGAATTCTTGGATAACCACTTGAAGAGCTAGTTACAAGTAAGTAACCTGTTCTTTTTCTTTATGATCTCTCACACATATGGGTGGCTGACTAGCTCACTTACCAGCTGGCGGGATGACACACCAATAGAGATGATGTGCTTACTATTATGGATGTGTTCACAAGTAAGAAGTTTTTCAGATATGTTGTGTTTTAAAGAAGTTGAAGAGAACAATGTGAATTAAATAACATGCTTCCACGTCCCACTCTTTTTAAACACAAAAGGTTTGTTTTAGTAGCACTGAAACATAGATTTTTTTGGTAGATCCAGACAAGGATGGAGTCAAATGATAAAACATTTAATGCCATGGATAAAAATCTATGTGTACAGATGTGAGAAGTAAGTAGCATGCAAGAACTGTGCAACTAGTTTTGGGATCATTGTGTTTGAAAGACAAAATAATTCATACACCACTCAATAATTATAACTATTTCATAAATTTATTTGAAAAATACTTACAAAGGCAAGTATGTTGAGCCTAAAATAGTTAAAAGTGAGTCTGTGTTTACAGTGTTATAACTAAGTGTGCAGTCTTAACAGTCTTTGCAATCTGAAGCACTGTTAGTCTGTTTTGAAAAAGTGGGAGATGGTCCGGTTTATACATGAGCTATACCTTCTTTCTACTTTCTTACTAGCACCTACAGCGGTTATCTGTGCCTAACATCTCATTACAAAGAAAGATACATTTGCCTCATTTAATCCATAAGCACGGACAAATTTTTAACCTGGGAGAGCACAGAAAGTTCATTAATGGTCTCCCTCTACCATCTAACAGAAAATAACTGAAAAACTGAACAGTAGATTGGTGTATGGGTTTACTAGTGCCACTGTACATGACTTAGTCCTTTAAAATGCAGCTTGTGGTCAACAACAGAGGACTTTTCAATCCATATACAAATCTCAATCTCTTTACATTATTAGTGAGCTTTAAACCCATTTCCTGTGGAAACAGGCTGCAAATGGAGTCACTGAAAAGTTTCTGGTAGACGTGATTCAGCAGTACAGAAACAGAAACACAGTGCAATCAGCTTCCACTAATTTTATAGCTACTTTTCAAGACAAGACTGGCACAGACACTGACTGAAACGAATCTTGCTGTCCTGTGATCATCTATACTTTAGGAACAACAGCTTAGACAACCTGTTCATATAGGAGCAATCAGGTCTGAAAGGCTGACACCTCACCAGCCACTGTTGTGCACCGAAGCAGCAGCTGTGCAACCCAACATCTTACGGTGCATCTCAGAAGTGGATGAGTAAGTCCCATCCATTGTGCACACAGGCAAAATGCGCCTTACTCCAAGCTGAGGGACATAGGTATTTTGCCGCCAGTCTTCTTCTGGTGGCATATCTACCCTCCTAGGACCTGGAGGCTTAGCCTGCGGGGGAGGCACAGGACAACCTTGCGAGCTATCTATGTCTTTGGAAGCCCCATGTGATGACATACAGACGGTACTGTAACCAATGCTTTGTGACGGCCTACTGTCAGTGGCACCAGCCTCACGCTTTCCTTGCTGAAAGGGCTGCTGGAATAAATGTTCCTCTGATCCCCTGGTTTTCTGAGCAGCAAATCCCCAATGTTTTGCTTGTTTGTCTGGTAGTGTTGCTGTTTGTCTGGCAGTGTGACTCATCTGCGGCCAGTGGCCAGAGGCGCTTGCGGCTTCTTCAGTTCCTAAATGCTTATTAAGAAGTTTCTGTCCTTGAGAAGACAGGCCCTGTTGCTTGTAAGTGAGGCTCCCATAACTCAAGGCCACCCCTGGGTTTTCTTCACTTTGGAAAGTTTCACCCCTGTCAGACACAGCCAGAACTTTTTGGATGTTCTTCTGATTTCCTGGGGAAAAGAACAGAATATAATACTGTTTTCTTCATTCAAAGCGGAGTGATAAAAGCACTTATGTACAAGAAGTGCATTTAGGAATTTACTATCAAAGTGTCTAAACCCTGATGTTGAACACCACCTACATTCTTGCCTAAGCTCATTGTGTTTAATTAAACAATTGCAGAAGTGGTCCAAGACTAGTATTCAAGGATCAGAACTCAGGAATTGTAGTTAACTAAATCAACAGTTTTTTGTCATTCATTTTTATATAAAAGCACATATCTGAAGAATGCCAGGGACTAGTCAAGTATGGCAGAAGTGGGAGGGAATATAATTCATGAATTGCTCTAAATCAGTCTCCTGGGTGACATCAGATACGTCATACTTAAAATTAATTAATGGCTTATTCATTATAGGACTGGATCACATTTTTAGCTACAATTTGTGTGGCTGGTTTTCATACCAATGGATCCTGTCCTTTCTGACATGTCCTTGTCTTAAAAGGATACTCATTCAACAGTCTTCTTTCAATCACAATAAGGACAGATTACTTGCCTGTAGCTATAGTTCTTTGAGTAGTAATCTATGAATTCATGCATATAGGTGTTTCTGCACCTGTGTGAAACCTACCAGAACATTCTAGAGCTTAAGCAGAGAGCTGTTAGAATAGCTTCCCCTGCTGTGCATGCCCCAATACCCAGAGATCATCTCTCCCCCAAACTGCCGCTATGTAAGAAAAAACAGCATAGCAGACTGAGGGGAGGATTGGTGGGTTGTATGAATTCTTGGATAACCACTTGAAGAGCTAGTTACAAGTAAGTAACCTGTTCTTTATGATCTCTGTGAATCACACATATGGGTGGCTGACAAGCTCACTTACCAGCTGGCGGGATGACACACCAATAGAGATGAGATCACCACTCTGTTGAACATGACATTGAGCTTAGTCCTGATGCCCAACCCACAGTGTCTGATTAATGTCAAGGGTTGAGACCACATAGCAGCCTTGCAGATGAATCTGAGCTGGATCCCTCTAAGGAAGGCCGCTGAAGGTGGCAACAGCTCTAGTTGAGTGATCCTTCAAAGGTCCAAGGAGTGGTTTATTTGCTAGCTAATTGTGTTGACAAGCCACTTAGATAAAAACTGGGGCATTATCTGGGTCCCCATCCTGGAACCCTCATAACTGACAAATTGTTTGTTAGTGTTTCAGATAGATTTAGTCCTTGAGGTATAACATGCTAAGGCTTGTCGAATGTCCAATGTGTGCAATGCCTTCTCTGGCTCTGAAAAGGGAGAGGGGAAACACAGTTGGAAGAACAATGAGCTGACTGAGGTGGAAGTAAGAAACTGCTATGGGTAAGAAGTGCAAGTCAGGAGAAAATGTCACTTTATCCCTGGGAAACTAAAACTAAAAAAAAAAAAGGAGGGTCATGTCAGAAGCAATACATTTCACTTGCCCGATGTGCTGACATAATGGTTAGTAAGAGAACAATTTTATATACAAATGGCCTCAGGTCTTTTGTGGCCATTGGTTCAAAGGATGGCTTCTATAGTTGACTGAGAGCCAAAGAAAGTGACCACTGTGGGGATGACACCCTGACATTTGGGAAGAGGTTCTGCAGACCTTAGAGAAACTTCTTCAAAACTGGATTCCTAAAATATTGGGATGCACTGGAACAGTGTGGTTTCCATGAGATGGTGTTGGTGTCAAGACCACTTAGATGAGGGAACTGGTATCTTGGATAAAGGATGGTGGCATTTGTATGATGCCAACATCAAGTTGAAGTGGGAGGCAAAGAAATCACAGGGTCAGAGCATCAACTCCAGGTTGGTTCTGATGCTCTTGGTGTTGAAGTTTCCTTTGCTTTAGAAGGTGGTTGCCTGCCTCTTAGGAGTATGAGCTGTTCATATTAAAGCCCAGAAAGCTGACTTGATTGGCTGTGGTAATGCTTCAAAACTATTAAGGCATTGGAGAGAACAAAGGCATACACCTGAAAGGGCTGGTCTGTTTGTCCATGCCCGTTCCAGGGAAGTTAAAAGAAGGGTGATGGACAAAGCTACTTAGGATCAGGATAATACCCCTGGCAGGGGACAAACAATGAACTTGGGTTGTCTCCTCCTCCAATGCTGAGCCAAGAAATACAAGGTCATCCCATTCCTTGTCTGAGGATGGCATAATATCTGAGTGTACTTCCTAAGAGTCATTTGGAGCTTTAGATTGCTCGTTGGATTGCCCATTTAGGTGGTCATGCTTCTGCTTTAATTTTTTTGGCAGGAGCTAGATCTGAGTCAGCAAGCTTCTTTCGGGCTAGCACTGACAATGACTGTGATGTTGAAGTCACTATTCCCCTTAAAGTGGACCACACAGTTGAAGAGGCTGTCAATGTTGAAAGTACATTTTCTGAACCAAGAGGTGGTAATTGTTCCCCCTTAAACTTTGTTAGCAGCTGACTGATTTGGCCTGTTGTGGTAGGCTCAAAATGAAATGGTTCCATTGCAGACTGTTTAGAATAATGCTATGTCTGAAGCAGATACCATTGGGACCAAATGGGGTTGGTGGGATAACAAATCAACTGTCTGCAGGGATCTCTCCTGAAAATGGAGCTTTAGACGAGATTGTTGGTTCTTAATTGCCACCTTCGTAAACTTGCAACAATACTAGCTAGATTGTGTCTTGTGACCCTCATCAAAGCAGTAGAAACATTTCAAATGTCAGTCAGTGAGGGGAATTTTCTTCGCTGCATACCACACACTTCTTGTTTCCTCAGTGATGCCTAAAGGGAACTGAGGGACACCTGCTGGGCGCTGGGACACACGCAATAGGGCAGATATTCTAATGTCTCTCTGCTTAAGCTCTAGAATATTCTGACGAGTTTCACACAGGTAGGTTCAGAAACACCCATATATGAGATTCATGGAGACCATGAAGAAGAAAGACGACCATAGCTAGGAGGTATGCCATAGGAAAGTTAGGGTAGCTGAGATGACAGTTCTGCCCCTCCTCCTTCTGGAGTGATATAGCTACAAGGATAAGCCATGCCATATCCTTCTCTTCTGCTTGAGGGGTCTGAACTATTCTGGATATAGGGTAGCTATAAGCAAAAACAGTTTTTCCCCCTCCAGCAAAAAGGACAAGGAATCACACATCGTTCCGCTTAGTTACTTCTGAATGGACAAATAAAGGCTAAACTCCTGAAGGTTAGTGTAATAAGTTGCATTAGAGTGGGTCCAATGAATCAGTGGGGATTTGGTGAATTAACTCCTCCATATGTTCCACTGATTCAAATGCACTTACTTTAGTTGTGACTTGCTAAGATAAACAACAGGATTTCAGCCTGTGGTCAAAGCATTTGTGAAATTGTGAGAGAGGGGGTGTTCCCACCTGGAGAGGTGTTCCAAGTTTCCAAGCTCTGTTACTGAGCTGGATGAGTTAATCTTTTGTTGCTTGCTCTCCTCCTACCCAGGTGAGCAAAAATGTATCTCTCACCACAAGATTTAAAATGAGATTTAAATAAGTAGATATTTATTCTCTACTTTTACTACTCAGTACACATGCATAGTATAATATACGGATTCAAAGGCTGGAATCCAAGGAAAAAAACAGAGAACAGAAAGTCAAGTGCCTACTTATAAACATTTTTCAACATATAATCAACATAGCAATCTTTTCTGTTTAATGATATAATTTATATTACATCAATGTAATAAACTGTAACAAAATACTATAGGTTTAACTTGGAGAGAGCAAATTTAAGAGATGAGATATCTTCATTTTGTCAACCTCTTGAGTAACTAAGGAGTAGGGGGAACATTTCTATGACATGTCATATTTTTTCTGCAACCTATGTTTGAGCTTATGAGTGGGGTTTGAACATTTTTATGAGTAATCTGGTGAGAAGGGCCATATTACTCATAAAGATGTTTAAACTTCCTCATGGGTTCAAATGTAGGTTGCAGAAAAAATGTGAAATGTCATAGAAATAGGTTACTTACCTGTAACCATGGTTCTTTTAGTGGATCTGTGAATTCACACAAATGGGTTTATCCTGTGCCTGCGCAGGACGTTCGGAAGATTCTAGAGCTGAGGAAAAAGAGACAATTAGTCCCCCCTGCAGGGTATGAGCTCCGCCTCCTCAATCTTCCTTTCAGTTTTCCCTTAGTCCGCAGTTACCGTATGCAGTAGATAATTAGAATGGTACCGTGAAGGATAGTGGGGAGGAAGGGAGGGATGTGTGAATTCACAGAGGTCCACTAGAAGAACATGGTTATAGGTAGGTAACCTAACTTTCTTTGTAGTGGCCTCTGTGAATGCACACAAATGGGTGATTAGCAAGCTTAATCACTGGATGGAGGACCATCATGGTAATAGAGATGACAGGATCACCCTTCCAAATGCGGCATCATTTTTGGCTCTGACATTAAGGCAGTAGTGCTTGGCAAATGTCAGAGGGTTGGAGCAAGTAGCTGCTTTGCAGATGTTTTGTATCTGGATGCCTCGATGCAAAGCGGTCAATGTAGAGACAGCTTGGGTAGAATGTGCTTTGAGATGGTCAGGTACCGACTTGCCTGCAAGTTGATAAGCCAACTGAATCAATTGCACTACCCATCTTGATATTGTTTGCGAAGAGGCAGGTGTACCTTTGTTGGTGCCATGATAGCACAGGAAGAGACGTGGGGAACGTCTAAAGGTCTTGGTCCTGTGAAGGTAGAAGGCAATGTCTCTTCCCACATCCAGTGTATGGAGTTTACGCTCAACCGGTGTGGATGGAGACAGAAACAGTGATGGAAGTATGATGGGTTGGTTTACGTGGAATTCTGACACCACCTTGGGTAGGAAGGACACATCCAGGTACAGGGTGACTTTCTCAGGGTGCATCTGGAGATAAGGAGAGTCCAATCTAAGAGAGCCAGCTCACTAGCTCTCCTAGCCGATGTAATTGCCACAAGGAATAACGTCTTAAGAGAGAGTAACTTTTCGTTACAGGTTGCCATTGGTTCGAATGGCGGCTTTG